AAAGCCTCGGAAACCCTGTACAGGGTCGCTGTGAGTCGGAACCAACTCCACAGCACATAACCACCACCACCACACATATCTTGAAAGAAAGGCCTGGTGATTGACGTACTTCAAAACAAAAAACAACCATTGAAAACCTTATGGATCACAGACTCTGACACACACAGGGTTGCCATGAGTCAGAACTGAGCCTTGACATGAACAGATTTTGTAGTCGTTGTTGTGGTTAACTTCTGACTCATAATGACCCTGTTTAGAGTTTCCAATGAGCTGGGTTTATACGGCCAGCCTTGCAGTTAGCAGCCCAGTGCTTATCTTACAGCATCACACAAGAACTCCTTGTAGTCGTTGTTGTTCAGTGCCGTTGAGTCAGTTCCAACTCATCCTACTGACCTCCCTGTCATTTCCCCTCATAGAGGTGTGTGGTGGGGGTACGAGAGAGAGAACGTTCTCAGGAGGCAGTGCAATGAGACCTTAGGACCACTGTTGTTAAGTGCTGTCGAGTCAGTTCCAATTCATAGAGACCCTATATAGGGCTTCCAAGGAGTGACTGGTAAGTCTGAACCACCATCCTTGTAGTTCAAACTGACCTTGCAGTCCAGAACTTATCCTATAGCGCCACACCAGGACTCCTTAGAACCATTGTTGTTGTTGTTAAGTGCCATCAAGTCGATTCCGACCCATAGGGACCCTGTATAGGGTTTCCAAGGAGCAGCTGGTGAGCTTGAACCGCCAACCTTGCAGTTCAAACGGCTTTGCAGTCTGGCGCATTAACCCACAGCGCCACACCAGGACTCCATTAAGCATAGGTATATTCTAGTTTATCTAGTCGTCATTGTGACTTAAACAAATTTCTTCAGACTCTTTTTTTTTTTTTTTTAATGTACTTTAATCCATCCGTTCATTAACCCAACTTCTCTTTTCATTTTCAGTTTGGGCTTCCTGTAGACGCCCTTCCCCTGCGCAACAGAGCTGAGCCTCCCCTTCCCTAGTTCTCCTTTAACACATTGGGTGCATACATCTGTGCCCCACCTCTCTTCCTGCCAAGGTTCTTAGAAGCCTGAGAGTCTGAGAATGGTGTCTGGCCTCTGGTCAAGAAGCCAGCAGTCACGGGGATTGGAGATGCAGCCCGCATCCTAGTCCTGTTCCCAGTGCCTTCAGCCATCCTTCCCTGTCATTTCCAAACCGTAGCATGTTCAGGAGACCCACCAGCTTCCCTGCTCCAACTCTGATTGCTGCTTGTTTCCCTGACGGATTTGCATCCTCCATTGCTGTGTAAACATGAGTCAGCACGGCTTCCTCCTTTTATCACTGGTCTCCCCTGACACTCGCCTCCATGTTCCACAACCTCTTCTCAAGTCTACCCAGAGGTGACTCCGAAGAAAGGCCTGGCCATCTACTTCCAAAAACCAGCCATTGAAAACCCTATGGAGCGCAGTTCTACTCTGACTCACAGGGGGTAGCCACGAATCTAGTCATCTCCATGGCAACTGAGGGATCCAAAAGGAAATTCTCTAGTGCCTCTTCCTTTTGGTCCTTTCCAACTCTGATTCGCTTAAAATGGCATTCAAATTTTGTTCAAAATCCAGGATGACTTTGTTTACACCCAGTCACACCCCTAAAACACGACTGCTGGAGAAAATCCCATGTCTCTCCTCTCTGTAACTCTGGGTACTCCATGGATGCAGAAGGGAGAATAAACCTGAATATTATTACCAGCCTAGTGTCTTGAATTATAGACTTACAGTATTCTTCTCAGGGGCTGCAGAAACACCTCTGTATTTTCCCAATAAGGTAGGACCAGATATAATAGCCCTATTTCATAAACTGGCAAGCTGAGCAGGCAAAGAATCAGTGTTTTCGGGTTTGTTCTGATGAGTCCTGCATTCTCTATCTGGTGAATGTAATGATTTTTAGTATGCATTTTGCACCTGTTTTCCCCAATAAAAATATGCAAGATTGAAGAAAAAAGGTGTTGTGCTTTTAGAAGGTTGTGGACTTTATCTCCAGTCTAAGGATTCGTTCTTTTTAAAAAGATTTCAGCCCTAATTTTGAAAAGGAGTCCTATCCAATAGTGGCTTTGGGGAACCCTCGGGAAGAAGACAGTCCCCCCACCCCCACTGTCAGGGCCACCAGGGGCAGCAGCCTTTGGTGCTTGGCCAGTGACGAAGTGAGAACTAGAGGTACCCTGACAACGATCTGTGGCTAATTCCCCGTCTCTCTGCCCTTCCTTTGCAGTAACCCATGGCTGTGTACTGAATAGCATTCCCCGCTACAGCTGGACTGGACTCCATTTAGCCTTTTAAGCCAAAGTTCCTATTGTAACTGACAGCTTTCCCTTGGGGTGCCAGGCAGCCAGGCTCCCCATCTACCCTATCACTTCAAGACTCACCTCTTCTTTTTGACTTCCACAACTTATCCCTGCCTCCCAGGGCCACTGGCATGGAACATGACTATCCATCACCTTCTTGTTTATTTATTTGTGAGTTGTTGTTTTTTTTTTTTTACCACTTACTTTGAAACCATAAAGTTAAACAAGGCTATGCCAAGTGCTCAGGTCTTTTGAAAGCATTGAGAATTTGATCAAGGGGCTGGGAGGGGGCACTAAGGGAAGGGGAGGAGCGTGTCTCTTCAATTCCATACAATAGTAGGACCCAAAACTGAGACAGTGAAAAGCAAACCTTCGCACACACTCTTTCTCTTGTCTGGTTGGCAAAGGCAAGAGTGCAGTTTTGAAGCGCCCTCTGATTTCTTGGGGCGTTAGGAACGCTACTTGCATTTTAATTCACCGAGTGATTAGTGGTCTGAGGCAGGAAGAGGGATGAAGCTGCCAAAGACAAAGCTAGTTCCTTGGGACAATCCAAGTCACAACAGAGCACTTCTGGAGACCCTAGGCTTGGAGGTAAGACACTCCAATACTCAGAGAAGTCTCGGTGTGGTGCTATGGTTTAATACACTAGACTGCAAAGTCGGTTTGAACCACAAAGTCAGCGGTTCAAGCTCACCAGTCACTCCCAGGAAACCCTATACAGTGTCGCTGTTGGTCAGAACTGACTCGACGACACTTAACAACAGTTCCAAAAGATGCTGAGTTATGGTTAAGTCTCCTTGAGAAAGTATCTTGTTTGCTGCTTTGATGTTTTTAAGTCCCATTCCAGAGCTGCTTCCAAGGAATTGCAAACTTAAAACGAACCAACCAACTGATCTCTATCCCTCCTCCCCTTTCGCTGAGTATCTATTTACATTACAAACAGGAGCCCCTCCCCTCACGTTTGCATTTATTTACAGACTAGCTACTTGAAGTTTAGAATGGCAGTGGAGATTGAGTGGCTCTAAAAAGCCCTGGAGATGATGGGTTGCTAACCACAGGTTGACAGCTCAAAACCACCAGCCCACTCCTCAGGAGAAAGATGAGGAGGCTTTACATTTACAGTCTTGGAAACCCTAGATAGCGTCTCTGAGTCGGAATAGATGGCAGTGGGGTTTTGCTTGTTAGTTTACCTGTAAGGAGCCCTATTGGCACAATAGTTGGTTCCAACCCACCCAGCTGCTCCATGGGAGAAAAGACAAGGCAATTGGTTCCTATAAAGATTAAACCTTTGGCTGCCAAGTTCAGTTCCTACAAGACAGAGTAGAACTGCCCCCTAGGGGTTCCAAGGTTGCAAGTTTTTAGAGGAGCAGGCCACCGTGTCTTTTATCCCATAGAACTGCTAGGTGGATTCGAGCTGACAACCTTCTAGTTAGTAGCCAAATGCTTAACCACTGTTCTGCTAGGACTTTTTCCATAAAGACTAAGCCTAGGAAACCTTATGGGGCTGTTCTACCGTGTCGTATAGGGTCACTGTAAGTAGGCATCAACTCAACAGCACTTAGCAACTATTGCAAAAGTATTAGATCCACAGCCTTTGCCACAGAAGTTTATATTAAGATATGCTCCACTTTTTTCATAAGGGGATCTTCAAGAGAAGTTTAGGGACTCACCCAAAGTTCTACTACTGTTTTGTGGCAGAAGTTGAGCAAAATGCTGTCTCCCGACTCATTGCACAAAAGTATTCCATTTGTTCCTGTATGTTCATGGAAACGAGGCTACTGCTTCTCCTTTTTTTTTTTTTTTTTCCACAGAAAGACCTCAGAGGACAGGGTGGGTGAGGGAGAGAGCAAGCAGGAGACTCAACTGAGTATTCTGCGAAAGGTAGGAATCGTCAGGCCAGCCTTCCTGGACCTCTGGGATGGGGCCAGGCATGTACAGCAGGGCTTCAAAAGTCCGTGAAAAAATGGAACTGAAAGATAATGGAATTGTCCCAGGAACTTTTTGAAGCCTTCCTGTACATATTTAACAGATGCCTTCCACGATTTTTGAAAACAGGGAAATTTAGTAAGTAACTATCGAACAAGAATGAAAATACTTCTTTTATTATGTAGCTTTTGTCACTGGAGACAAGGAAGGGTTTTTTCTTCCTCCACTGAAAAGGCTCTTTAATTATTACGGTTGTTTCTGTTTTTTTGTTTTGTTTTGTTTTTTAATCCTCTACGTTCTCTGTTTACTTCTGGTGAAACGCATCCAGACGTTGGAAATGGTCTGGGCTTTGATTTTCCCAGACTGGAATGGAAAGCTGTTTTGAAAAGGACACACACAGATACACACACCTCGTTTCTCTTAAGACGAGAAGCCCAGAAGTTTGCTTTCCTTAGCTGGAATACCCACTTTTTTGTTTTGTTTGAATCACTTAGCATTTACATATGGCTGTTAATATGTGCTTGTTTTTGTTTTTGTTTTTTCATTAAAACAAGAAGCTTTAAACCAGTGTGTGGTGTTCTTAAAATCTTCTCAGCAGATTTCCCAATGGTGACCGTCAATCCGTGGCCTCATTTCTAACCTGTCTTCTCCAAGAAGAATCTGTGCTACCTCACGCTGCCCACTCCCCTTCCTGTCTTACTTTGGATGTCCTTTTTCTCTGGCTAACTTCATGTTTTCTTTCTCTTTCTCTCTCCCTCTCCAGCTTTTTTTAATCTTGTCTTCAGCAGCTGCACTAAGTCTAAAGGAGAAGACTGCCATTATAGAAGAGTTAGGGTTCCATATTGTCTCAAACCAGAAACCAACCAATTCCCTCTGCCCTCAAATTGCACGTGTGTGCACATACACACACACACACTCACTCGCCAAGTGTCCATGTGTCCCCGTGTCCAGGCAAGAAGCTCTCTTCTGACTTACATGGTATTTTAAATGGAAGTGTCTTGTACTAACCTAACAAGGCAGGAAAAGAACCTGGAGAATGGACCAAATGTAACCTACAGGAGACCTCACCCAAGTATAAGTGAGCTGGGGCAGGAGACCTCAGCTGTGGGTGTGAAGGTGCTGTTCAAAAGGTAGTGTGTGAGTTCTGTACTTTTCTTTTTGAACAACAATTCTCTGGCTCCATGGGTTGACTGTCTACAGCTACTGTTAAGCATTTCTGAATATGGACGTGAAAGTCAAACAACACTTGGATCTTTTTCGGCATTCACAGACCTTCTACAGAGTCCAACAAGGGGGGGGGGGCATATGGATCAACTAGCTAACACTCAGGCGGAGAAGGGAGAGACAAGAGGGTTCAGCTTAGTGAGAGAGCGCAATGATACCACGCCATCCAACCTTCCAAGGCTAGTCGGGGCTTTGAGATAAGTTTCTGCTCAGCTTGAGATCTGGAGGGAGAACTTTGATGTTGATGAATCTGCCAGGAGTTCATTGTTTACCTTGCATCAGAATACCATGTGAGTGTGCTCATTTCCATTTTCCCCTACCATCATCACCATTCCAGTGTCTCTTGAGAGCCCGTTTGCATGTTTTCCAGAATCTGTGTCTGTTTTTTTCCTTTCTTCTCCTTTGTTCTTTTTGCTCAAAGGTGTGACCAGTCACTGCCCCTCTGGGCCTTCATTTGCCAGGAGAAACATCTCAGAACCAGCACTGTTTAGCTTCATACCTTTCTAATGTCCATGTCAATTTTCAATAAAATTCAAAGAAATACTAAATGGCTGTGTGATCGAATCCCAAATCATTAGGTGATTCAGCCCGCCAGGGTTTGCCCCAGGAGTCAGTGGCTGCCTCCCAAGTGAGGGATTTGAGGGGCTCAGGGAGGCACCAGGGGGGCAGGATGTGCATGGGAAATTCCTCTACCTGCTTCCTCCCCCACCCCCCCATTCTTATTAGCATGGATTTTACTGACCAGAAGAACTAATTATCATTTAGGAAGAAGTGCCAGGTCCTACAAAATGAGATTCCATTGAATTTTTAGTCCGGAAGGGAAAAAAAAAACGATGTTGCGCGACTTCCCTCATTTAATCAATCCTGGGCTCTGAGCGTAGCAGCCTACGAATTCATGATAATCATTGTTCCTTGTGACCTGAAAAGCATTCTACAGACAGTGACGTGTATTTTGTGTCATGGAGCCACCAGGGAGGGATGCTCCCTGTGCCTGCAAGCATTAGAATGGGCAAGAGTGATCACTTTTCATAATTCTGCTTACAGTCTAGGTGGGGTGGAGAGTCCTTTCCTTCACTTCATTTCCCTAATGACCACATTCTGAAGACTGGACAAGTGGTCGGTATGTATGGGAGGCCTGTAGTAGGCCTCTGAAAGAATTCTAAGCCCACTGCCATTCAGGCAGTTCCAACTCATAGTGTCCCTGTAGGACAGCATAGAACTGCCCCTGTATGATTTCCAAGGCTGTCAATCTTTATGGAAACAGACAGCATCATCTTTTTCTTCCTACGGAGAGGCTGGTAGGTTCCAACTGCTGACCCTTCAGAGCTAGAAACCAAGTGCTTAGCCACTGCACCACCAGGGCCCCTGAAGAAGTACCAGAAGAAACAATATTGGCCTGCCTCTGCAAAGCTCGCACACTAGGGGGCAGCCGAGTGAACCCATAGTCTATGACAGCTGAGAACAAAGAGGCAGACGCTGAGGCGATGTGGAAAAATACAAGCTCTGGACTTGGACAGACTTGCTAATCGTGTGCTCTGGGGCAAGTTGTGTTAATAACTTCTCTATAAAAGGGGAATATCAGTAACTCCCATTCAGGGTCATTGTGAAGGCTATATGAGCCAATGGAATTTAAATACCTGGAGGTTCAACAAATGGTAAATGTTGTTCAACATGAAGTTTTCCCTTTACCAAAAGTATTCAACTTGGCTACTTCTCAATCTTGGCACTATTGACAATAGGGGTCGGATAATTCTTTGCTGTGGGGGGAGGAGGGTTGTCCTACACAATGGAGGATGTTTAACAGAAGCCCTCTGCCCAATAGATGTCAAAGCATTCTCCCTTACCTCACCCCCGCTCTACTTGTGGCAACCCAAAATATCTCCAGACATTCCCAAATCTTCCCTAGAGGACAAAATCACCCCATGTTGAGAACCACATCTCTGATATGATGAAAAACATGTGAAACGACAGCTTAGTAACTAAGCGCAAGTAAGCCATGCTTACCTTGCTTGTTGGGCAATCTGACACTGAGCTAACCAGGCCTCTAATAGCTTCAAGAAGCCCACATCACCAGGGTGCCAGTGGGAAGCACTAAAGTTAATCTGTGTCCTGTCCTGTCTGACTGAAGCACGTGGCATCGCTTAAGAACATAACAGTGGTGCCCTTGCAACACAAATATGATGCCATTCAACCTTATCTATCCATCCATCCATCCATCCATCCACCCACCCCACCCATCCATCCATCCGCCCACCCATCCATCCATCCATCCACCCATTCACCCCTTCCTTTCTAGACACAGGGGATTCGAAGCCAAGTAAGACTTCCACCCATCCATCCATCCATCCACCCATTCACCCCTTCCTTTCTAGACACAGGGGATTCGAAGCCAAGTAAGACTTGGTCCTGGCCCTCAAAGCAGAACAGCATTCTGACTTCAGTGGACCCTTTCCTACATTAGAAAAAATATACACATTTCTAAAATTATGTGACAGTTGGTATAAAATAGAATGCACTCGAAGCTAGATTCATAATATCCTCATTATTACCCGAGAGCAATTCAAAAAGTATTGCTGCTAAGGTTCCAGTTCATACACACATGGGTTTATTCCAAACCAAACGTGTTTAGGCATGTCTCTGCAACCAGTAGATGGCTGCAGACCAGTTCTCTCAGTAGTACACGTGCCTTAGTCTCCTTAGGCTGCCTTCAAAAAAAGGTCTAATCAAAACAGTGGCTTTGGAAAGGATCTGCTTGGCCAGTTCAATTCAAGGCAGAGAGGTCAGCTCAGAAGCTTTTGGCGACTATTTTTTGGGGACCCCCAAAGGGGTCATCTTGGTAGGTTTTCTTGAAGGACACAGAATAATCATGGGGACTTATTAGGAAAAGTTTTAAGAAAATTGAAGACTACATTGAAAGGAAAAGGCCAGGAAAATTGCACAGATATTTTTTCCCCATCATGACAATGCACCTGCTCGTACTTAGAGGGCAACAAAGGATGTCCTAGGAGAATTTCACTGGGAAACCTTATTCCATCCACCCAGGAGTCTTGATCTTGCCCCTTCAGACTTCTTTATGTTCCTTAAAGTGCGACAACATTTAAAGGGAACACGATTTGAATCCTTTGAGGATGCCCAAACTGCCATTTTGATGTGATATAAATTGAAGAGCACAGAATTCTTTGGAGGAAAAGCTAGAGAGATGGAAACACTCACTGCCTTCAGAAGTGTGCTGACCTAGATAGAGGAGATGTCAAGAAACAAGAGCCTCACATTTTGATATTTTTGTTTGATAAAGGTTGCTATGATTTCATAGCAATACTTTTTGACTTGCCTTTGTATTTTGCTTCAGATTTAAAAAGAAAGAGAAAACATCGTCACGGGCCCCTAAAAGTGTCATGGGCCATAGGCACTGTGCCTACTGGATTCGTTGACACGGCTTCTGATGACTTCATAGTCAAATGGGAGACACAGACAAGGAAGAGTGTGATGACAGAGTGGCAGGGCTTTCTTGCTTTTGTAGACAGAACTGCTACTCCCTTCTTCGTGACTCCACCATAGTTCCCAGAACATCCATCTGTCAGAGACTCTTACTTTACTACACTTTAAATATATATATATATTTAAAAT